TATGGATGTAAGCGCTTCTTCAGGTAACCAGGTCCCAAGCCGTTTAGGGCTTTATAGGTCATAACCAACACCTTGAATTGGGCCCGGACTTCAATGGGAAGCCAGTGAAGCTGTCGGAGGACTGGAGTCATGTGAATATAACGCCCCGTCCCCGTCAGCAGCCTGGCAGCTCTATTTTGAACCAACTGAAGTATCCAGACCGTCTTCAAGGGAAGCCCCACGTAAAGCGCGTTACAGAAGTCAAGGCGGGAAGTCACCAGCACGTGTGTCACCGTTGCCAGGCAGTCGTACTCCAGGTAGGGGCGCAGCTGATTAACCAGCCAAAGCTGAAGGAAGGCGCTCCTCGCCACCGCTGTCACCTGAGCTTCCAATGAAAGCTCCAGGTCAAGGAGTACTCCTAAGCTGCGGACCTTGTCCCTAAGAGGGAGTGCAACCCCATATTCATACAAGCATTTTTCTTTTTATCAAAAGTACTATGCTGCAATGTATAAAACACTTTTGAGAAAACCCAGCACAAGTATCAGTTTTTGAATCAAATCAGGCTATTTTTTAAACAAAAAATGTAATGTTTATTTAAGGATGGTGTTTCATATTTTTGATTCAGTCAAGAATTTAGAACTCAATAGAAATATAAAACAGATGCATATCAAAACATTAACATGGCAACCCTTGTGATATCATCGATTATTTTGATTTCTAGAAGACCCCACAGGAAGCAGTGAACCTTGGAGGTTGAACACTACCATTGCTTTTCCAACTTTATTTTCAATTAATCAAACCTTAAGAAATCACCATCGACTGAAGAGATCAATAAGCACAGAACGTTTTGTGGAGACACTGGTAGTAGCAGACAAAATGATGGTGGGATACCATGGACGCAAAGATATTGAGCATTATATTTTGAGTGTCATGAATATTGTAAGTTTGATCCCTCTATATGTTCAAGCAACTTCTTTTAAGATTGTGGGTATTAATGAGGTTAGACTCAGAAACTAAGGATGCATTAGTATCAGTTGGGCATCACTTATTGAGTAGTCACTGGAAAGTCACTAAAGTGCATTAATTTTTCTTTCAATGTTTCTAGTAAAGTTTAGACAGATCCTGAATTAGCAACATTTCTCTTAGGAATGACTGGCATAGGTGGTTGTTACCAAGTAAATCCAGTGACTCAAGCTAGTTATTTCAAGGGGCATAGTGTGAACTGGTTCTGCTTCAGTTTTACCTTTGGAACAAATCTACTGCTTTCTTTTTATCAGTGCTAGTAATTGTTCAGAACTCTTATAGTAAGGTAGCCATGGATTATGTTTAATCAATGCCAGAGACTTCACTACCTTAAATATAGCTAATTTATTAGCTACTCATTAGAGAACAGTTCTAACTAACTCACTAACACTAACTTCTCTTTCTTGTGCTTCAGTTCTTCTGGAGTTTCCATTCCCCATATAAGGCATTGCTTCTGTCTCTCTTGACAATAACATTTCACTACATTTCCTCTCCTTTGAGTTATAAACTATGTGAAATCCAACAACTGAGCTAAAAAGAAATATTAGCCTCTGTTGACAACCTCCTTACCTAGTCCCACAAAACCAGTTGTCCCACAAGTATATAATTTTTCCTCTGTTGCTATTCCTATCTATATAAAAATCCCTGCAGCATTCAGGTTTTCTGATCAGTGTGTCTCTGGAAGTTACTTTCTCTTTGTCACCTTGACCAAATCTTTATCAGTAGTAGTAGAGGTTCTATACTACCAATAACTTTTCCATGTTAGGCCTTTTTCCTTTTTGGAGCTTTGCAAGTGATCTATCCTCACTAGAGTCTCCATAGAGTGGTCCTGACTTGTGACACCCTGTTTAATTAATTCCAGAGACTGCAGTACAGAATAGCTATTTATTAACTGCAAATTAGAGAAGAGTTCTGGAAAGGATCATGTTTCACTACAGCTACTGATGCCAATGTGCTATGGTTGAGAAAGAGTGTTTGAGCATGTAGATGCACTATGTAAAGTACTTTTGAGGAGATGCCAATGATTCTGAACCCAGATCTCCCATGCATCTAAGTTCGGTCCAGTGACATAGAGGTTTATAGGTAGCGTTAGATCAAATAAAGCATATTTAGATGCCAATGTAACTGTTAGTATTTTTGTTTTGCCACAAAAGCTACATTGGGAAATGGGGTTCTGCTTTTTACTGTAATAAACCAGTTCCTGCTGTTTTATCATACATTAATCAATTTATTTAAGTGAATTATAGTCCACTTTTCAGGGTTAAAAACTTTGCAAAGCAGAAGTGAGTTCTAGTTCTCACTGAGATGATGATGAAATTTCCTTTGGGTTGTACCAGTTCAGGAGGTAGGCACGGACTTGCACAATCAGTTGCTTTTCTTTATACAAATACACACTGCACCTTAAAATAGCACCTCAGTGAGAAGGCAAAACTTAGGGCATTGTCTAAGGGATTGCTTGATGTATTATAGATGAGGACAAGGAATAGGTTTAATTTTCACACTGATGTTCAAATGTTTGCCTTTACATTCTTCTGTATAAATGAAGAGCTGCCTTAATTCTAATGAAAAACAGTAAAATATTGCATTTGGAAACAGTATTGATTTGAGGAAAAACATTCCCACAACATTTTACAATGGGTGGTTTGACTTCCATCAATAGATATCCAAGAGAGTGCAGTGGACCTTCTTTGGCTTTTTTGCACTCATATCATCATAGAGACAAACATTTAGCTAGCACTGATTAACAGTCTTGCAGAACTTTCCTGTCAGGGTAAAATCAGGCATCCTACAGGATTGGTTATCTTGTGGATGTACTGGTGTTGAGGTATTGGGGAAAATTCACAATCCCCTTCTCCTTATCTAACGTAACAGAATTTAGGCAGTACTGTTAATAATCTGTCCCAGTCACGTGGTAGAAAAAATGAATTATTGTTTAAGCATATGTCCATATTTGCAGAATATTTTTTGTCTGACTTTGTGCCTTTTCTTATTTTCTGGAGGTCAGGTTGCCAAACTTTACCGTGATTCCAGCCTAGGAAACGTTGTGAATATTATAGTAACTCGTTTAATAGTCCTCACAGAAGATCAGGTAAGAATGATTTGTGACATAAATTCGGTTCTTTAAAATATAAGATTACAATAATAATAAAAAAATAACTTTAGAAAAAGTGTTTGATAAAATCTTATCTGCAGTCATTTATAATGTTAAAATTAGATGTGTTTACAAAAGTATTCATTTTAAACTTTTTTCAAGATTTTACCTATACTTACTGAAAATTACATATGTGGAATTTTTGAGTACTAGAAAGTTGAAGCTTGTTTTCTGTTCCTATGTTTTGAAACTGCAAAGTCTGCTCTGAATATTACTTTCCCCACATGGTTAAAATTAAAGTTTGAAACTAATCTATAATTCTTACTTTTGACAAAACTATTACTGAAATTTGAAATTAACTCTTTAAGATGTATACACAAAATAAACTGTAGGGCAATTTAATACAGATAAAAATTGGCAAGTAGAAATTATTCCTAGAAATTACTGCTTCTAATTATAGATCAGATTTGACTTCCTAAATCTTAACCACTGACCCTAGTAATTTGTTTGGAACATTTCTGGTATGCATGTTGTATTGCAGCCAAACTTGGAGATAAATCACCATGCAGACAAGTCCCTTGATAGCTTCTGTAAGTGGCAGAAATCCATTCTCTCTCACCAAAGTGATGGAAACACCATTCCAGAAAATGGCATTGCCCACCATGATAATGCGGTCCTTATTACTAGGTATGGCTTGCTGAAATTCTCTCATTTCTTCTGTTTTATGCTTCTTACGCCTTTGTTTTCACTCAAAAAAAGCTAGAGGAAGTATCTATAGCAATCATACAGGGTGAAAATATTGCACATGTTTAACACTGTGATAAAATATTCAGCACTGGAGGTAACTGATTTTTCCATTCAGTAATAGGAAAACTGTAAAGCTTACATGAAGCAAATGGAAGTGATTTGGTATACATTAATGCTTTTAGAATTAAACAGACCAGCTTTTACGTTAAGGATTTTAAAATAAGGTAGAAAACTATATAAATATTTCTCACATTTTTACTGTTGTCCCTAATGTTTAAGAGCCAAATATTATCGAACAAACCCTTAGCCAGCACTGATAGCTGCTAAATATATTAGTAACCACATTGTTTGTGTGGGTCACAGATACAATGCTGGCCCAAAAGCATCATGTGTGTCTTTTGCTATATTACCTGTATTGACGGAGAAGAAAACAAACTGAGGTAGTGTTGAGGTAGTGTTACTTATTCTCCTACAGATAAGCAGCAGCCCATATTTTGCTGTCTGTGTGATTTAAAGGTGCCATTCAGTGCATACTTGGGTGGACAGAATTCCATTGAATTCAGTAGGACTTCATTTTGGGGAATAATGCACAGCATGTTTGAGGTATTTGACTTATTCATGATGTACAAGCAAAGTGTCTGTGCTTCTTCATAGTTTGCATGTGCTTTATGAACATCCAAACATGGAATTATGATAGATTAATTTTAATAGAATATTTTTGGACATTAGTTTAATAATTTTGACCTCAAACTAATGCTAGAATATATCAAACTATAGTCTGTAGCTTTTCTTTCATGATAAATAAGTAGACATTTCTGACCTCCAAAAGAAAATTGACTTAACAAATATTCTGATTTCCTACTGTTCATGATGGTCACCATTTTTGGAATCAATCTTCTTTATTAAGAACATTAAGGAAAGCAAATTGAAGGGTGGAGAACACTGTGAAAAAATTAATCTCCAGTTCTGCTTCTGTACACCTTTATTCAGCATGCTTTGAAAAAGTACTAGAAATCAGTCCAGGCATGAAATAACTGGTAGAATTGACATTGGAAAAACAAACAAAGCTGATGTATGAAACAGCAATTTCTATTTGAATGGACAATGAAATGGCAAATATGATTCAGTATATGTAAAATGCAACAAAAAACCTAACTTCACCTACACTTATTGATGTCTGAACTGACAGTGTCAGAGATGTTAGCATCATGGTGGATAGCGCAGTTAAAACATCAACTGAATGTACAGCAACAGTAATGGATTAAAGTAAACATGCAGTAATTCTTTTATAGAAATCAAAGATGTGGCTGCATTGGAACTACAGTGTGTAGTCCTGGTCACTTTATCTCAAAAAAGGTGTTGCAGAGGTAGAAAAGATTGGAATATCTTCTCTGTGAGGAAAGCCTAAAGTGTTTTAGCTTAGGTTTTTAGCTTAGGAAAAACACAAGGTAGGACACAATGCATAGTGTAGAGAAAATGGATAGAAATTAGGTCAATTATATTGATTGGAACTAGATTTAGTACCATTAATTGGTTGAGGCAAAATGCTTCTTTGTACATTGAATAAGTAACTACTATAAAATGTGATGATAGCTGCTTAGCTAAAAGACTTTAAAGGCAGATTAGACAAATTTATAGTACATAGGTCAACATTAGCTATTACCTTTGATTGCTAAGTAGTTCTGAGTTTAGAGGCAGTATGCCACTGAGTACCAGGTAGTGGCAGGTGTTGAAAGAGGAGTAGTTTTGCTTTCATGCCTAGCTTATGGGCTTCCTTACTACCCAGAAATGGAAAGAGGGGATTGGTCTAGATTAAGCTTTGTTTGATCCAACAGGACTCTTATATTACAACATAACTTTTTTTTGCCTGTTACATTTGAAACCCACTGTCCCTTCAGATATTTAAGAGTTGCATAAATGGAACATATATGTTACCACTTCAACTTAGGTATGCATGGACTTTCTTAAATCTCGTTCAACCCTGGTTTGTGCATTTTGAGATGTCTTCCATTCCATTTTTCACTCATTGATAGAATCTGATTTTGCACAAATGAAAATGCCCAAATACCACAAAATATATAGATCTCTCTAAAAAGCTGATTTTCATACTTCAGTCTATTGAGGAAAATGCACATTTTGGTCATCTTTGTATTTTTCTGAGACTGAACTTGTATAAAATTATGGAAAGTACAAAAAACAGCTTGCAAGTCCACAGAATCTGTGTGAGTCAGGGAAACCAGTCTGCTGTGCAATTAGCAGATTTCATAGAAATCTGAATTGATTCACTCCACTGTGAATTTGTCTGACATCCCTACTCCAACTGCTTTTTCAGTTAGTCTGGGGAGAGAAAGAATGATTAGTCTGCAGTCTCTCAGTTTCAGGAATTCATACAAGGTTTTGCTGTATTATCTTTTACATTTGTTATAGCTATGTGTTTGGGAATAGGAAAATGAATTAATTCTGTTATGAATTCTTACAAAATGTATTAAAGATGACTTCTCCCAGTTGGTAATTCTGACTGGTAGGCAGGCTGTTTTCAGCTTGATTTGGATCAGGGTCAGTAGTGGCAAAAACTCAAAAATATTGTTTTAAATTGACTCATATTTTTGATTTACCAGATGATATTACCTTAAAAATGTATCTGGTTTGATTTAGGGTTTCTTTTGTCTAAAACATGAATACTTAATTTGGACACTGTGCTAAAAAAATTCTGCACTTCACTTTGTGTTTTTAAAATGGTTTAGTTGTATAAAATTAAGTAGAATAAAATCTGTAACTTTTATGGTACCTTTATGGTCAGGAATAATGTATTTTTTGTTCTGATTCTACTGTCAGATAAAAATATTGATTGTATCATACATAAGTAAATATATAAGAATTGTAATTAGGTCAGCAAACTATAACTTAATTATACTGTATTTTTATCATCACTTGGATTCTTTATCGTGGGATCCAAAATGTCTATACATATCCAGATAAATTATTTTGTTACTAGTACTATAACTATGGCAGTTGGCAGTAGAATAGAAATGTATTTATTTCTCTATACTTCTATATATTGCACCTGATATTTAAACAGACTATTATGAGACAGGAAATAATAGAATTGGAGGTACTTGAACACTCTTGAGCCTTGATAAAAATTCTGATAATATTCCTGATTTCTAATGAGGACCTTTTTTGAACAATAGCTTGAGCCAGATAGAAATTTCTGGAAACCCTGAAACCATAGGGAGAAAAACAGTTTTGTTTTGTTTTTTCAGGAAAGGACATGGAAAATGAAAAAGACTAAAATTGGCACCTTTTACAGATCAAAAGTCACTTTGTTATTTAGGAACTAAAATTTATGATGTATCGCTTTATTTGGCATATTAAAAGTACATTTAATTTAGACAATAATTACAAACTGAATTTACTTTAAGTCTTTTGAGTGTCCCTGCACTGTAAAGAACCTCTTTGGTTTTGCCACTTTATGAAGAGCAGGCAAAAAATAAAACAGAGGAGACTATCTATGCTAATAAAAGAAAGAAAATTACATCTCCATTAAGCCTCTCTTTCACAGTGTCAGACAGTAATAAAGTACTTGTTCAATAAAAACAGCAAAGAAAAAGGGAGTTGGGCTTGAACCGGGGCTCATTGGTTATGATTTTATGTGCCATCATTTCTGACTTACGATAACTCTTTGAATGAATACCTTCCAAAATATCCTATGGATGACAGACCTGCTCAGCTCTTGTAAAATCAAGGCTGTGGTTTCATTTATGGGCTCAATCCATCTCATATTTGGTCTTCCTTTTCTTCTTCTTTCTCTGACTTTCCCTAGCATGATTATCTTTTCTGGTGAGTCTTACCTTCTCAGGATGTGCCTAAAGTTTGACAGCCTCAGTTTTGTCATTTTTGCTTCAAAGGAAAACTCTGGCTTGATTTGATCTAGAACCCACTAGTTTGTCTTTCTCTTGGTCTAGGGCAGTGGTGGCGAACCTATGGCATGCATGCCACAGTGGGCATGCAGAGCCCTCTCTGTTGGCACATGAGCCAAGTCATCCCAGCATCGCCCCAGCAGCTGAGCATCGGATAATAGTGCACATAGGGGCCATGCGCATGCTTGGAAAGGAGTAGCAGCACCAGGCGATGATGTCATTAACTGTGACTTGTCCGAGCTTTCACATGGTCGGTCTGTGTGCTGCCAAGGAGAGAGATTTGCTTGAACTGGCTGTGAGTTTTTTCTAAACTAAAACCTCAGTATTCAGGTTTTATTGCTGTGTTGGCACTTTATGATAAATAAGTGGGGTTTGGGTTGCAGTTTGGGCATTCGGTCTCTGAAAGGTTCGCCATCACTGTTCTAGGGTATTCACAAAGTTCTCCTCCAGGACTATGTTTTGAGTGTATCACTTTTCTTCCTGTCAGATTTCTTTGCTGTCCGGCTTTCATACCCATACATAGTGATTGGGAATACAATAATGTCGCTGATGTTGGCCTTGGCTTCCAGAGAAATGTCCTTACACTTGATGACTTTGATTGTCCAAGTGGAAAGGAGCAGCCCTACTCAGCACCTCCACTCCTGCCTAACTGGAAACCTTTCAGGTTCAGGGCTGGGGCAGGACAATCGACTGATTCCTAAGCTCCTGCCTGAGTGAATTTTCTCATGCTGGGAAGAAAGAACTTGAACTTGGCCAGGATGCCCACATCTTGGTGGTTCTCTGCCTGGCCCAAGCTTCTATTTCCTTGCTTTTGCCAAAGAGAAAGTGACTTAAGCAGGAGAAGGTAAGGAGCACGTTAGGCTAGGCTGGGATATGCTGGGAATAGAACATCGTTGTCTTCTCTAGGTTCTCCCTTCCTCACTATTGAGTGGCTTTTTCTCCAGCAGGAGCAAAAAAGGGGGCAAGCCCAATTTCCACTCTCATTCCCACTTGGCTCTGGCATGCACCCGCCTCCCCAAC